AATCCTGCCTTCTCAGGATGTGCCCAAAATAGGACAACCTTCGCTTCACGTTTTTGCCTCCAAAAACAGTTCAGGCTTGCTTTGATCTTGGATCCATTTGTTTGTCATTCTGGCAGTCAAGGGTATTTGCAAAGCTCTCTTCCAACACCACATTTCAAATTAATTTCCCCTTTTTTCCCAGTCAGCTTTTTTTAACAGTCTAGTTTTCATACCCGTACATAACGATTGGACATAAAAGCGCCCGAGCAATCTTGTTCTTGTTCTCCAGTGCCACATCCTTACATTTGATTTTCTTTTCTAATTCCTTCATTGTCGTCTTTCCATGTCTCAGTCTTCATCTGATTTCTTGGCTGTAGTCTCTAACTGGATTGAAGATTGAACTGAGGTATACAAAATCTCCATTTACATTACTGGTTATGCTAGCTTTTGAGAATATTTTGTCATAAATGAGAAAAAGTTCCTTCCGCCCTCACCTTAATCATTCAAATAACTTTCCCTTGTTCAGAGGCAGGCAAAAGCTTTTTAACCCCTTCTTGTAGAAGATTATGGATCTCTCTCCTCCTAAATGGGGTGGGCGTACGGTGGAATAATGAGGGCCTGTGGGTGCCTCCCCACAGACTAACGTGGTAGAAGCATTGAGGTCCCTCTTCTTTCTCACTTCTTTTCCTCTAGGATATCAAAAACCTCTTGCAAAGGCAAGTGGATCTGCTCATTTGCTTTAGTGCAGTGGTCCCCAACCTTGGACCTCCAGATGTTCTTGGACTGCAACTCCCAGAAGCCTTCACCCACCACCTCTGCTGGCCAGGATTTCTGGGAGTTGAAGTCCAAGAACATCTGGAGGGCCAAGGTTGGACACCACTGCTTTAGTGCTTCATAATACTGGCAGGGCAGGGGCCTTTGTGTAAGGGAAAGGGTCTTATACTCTCCTGGGGAGATGATGTTGGTCTTCATCATTCCTGTGGTAACAACAAGGGTGTGATAAGCAGGGTCCCATTCTTCCACCCGGGGGCACAGCTAAAGCATGATCCTTTCCCCCTTATGTTTAAGGCCCTCTTTGTTCTTCACTCTGCTATAACGGTTTTAAAAATAACAGTAATGTGTTGATAAATATCTCAGGACACGTTTATGTTTTACTCATTTTTTTCATATCTGTTATTGTTAGAACCCTATGGAATCCTATAGCTGCCTAGAGTGGCCTTTTAGGCCAGATGGGCGGGGTATAAATAAATAAATAAATAA